CATTGGAGGAGATGCTGATCACTTATCTCGGCCCCGCAACCCGCCTACTCTCAGCTTTTCCCGCCCAAGAACACTGCTAGCTAGGAAAGCGGGCTCAAGGCGCCAAGGGCAAACTCAGATCGTTCCAATGGTTAGTGCTCAACACCTGATCCCCTGTTCTTGGGCAAGAGCCAGTATGACTGACATTCACCAAAACAGCCCCTTCGGCAGCTGTATCCGGAGGCCCATGTGGGGGGTGACTCAAACCCCGCTTCACCAGCCAGAGTTGAGTATGTTCGATCAGGTTTCCACCTCAACGCAGTCTGAGACCATGTCTAACGACGAATTATCAGTATTTTTGCTATCCACGGCCTGAACCCTCGAAGCAAGAAGGATGTCGATCACGCCTGGGATACCTGGCGGACACCCCCGGGTTCTCACGGCCGCCTATGGCTTCGCGACGACCTGCCACAGTCCATCCCAAACTCCCGCATTTTCCTCTATCAGTACAACTCCACGGCAGTATATGGCAAGGACAGAACCACCTTCGTTGATAAGGCGAACGACTTACTTGAGGCTATTCGCGCCGAGCGAGAGGAAGATGGGGATGGGGTTGATGGCGAAGGCAGTGAGACCCGCCCGATTCTCTTCCTCGGACACAGTCTCGGCGGCCTCTTGATCAAGCAGGCACTTGTCAACGCGCACAATAACCCGAAGTACAGACCCATCAAGGAGGCTACCAGGGGCATCGCCTTTTTCGCCACACCGCACAACGGTGGAAACAGAATGCTTGTGGGCATAGGAGGCATCGCCGCAAGGATCGCCCTCGACCTCGGATTTCAAAAAGGGGACAACATCATTGAGATGCTGCGCGATGGGGGCCTCTTTTCAGATATGATGCAAGAGCTCTGGCGACAGCAACTCCTCGCCTACAACATCGTGACTTTCTGGGGGTCCTTGGATAGTGTAAGTACTCCCCAGAGCCCTCTGTCATAGCGCTCGAGCAAGGTTTACAGTCACTGATTTATGCTCGATGGTTAGATCGTCCCCAGAGAGAGCGCTCGGCTCAGCCTTCCGGGAGACCGGGAGAACGTCGTTACACTTGCTGCAGATCATCGCAGCATCTGCAAGTTCGGAAAATCGGAAACGGACCAGGACAACTTCAAACTTGTTCGGACGAATATCAAGGACCTGTATAAGAGCGCAATCCAGCCCCGTGAGTAGGACGCGGAACAAAACAATCATGTGCTCGCTGACTTGGCTCAAGGAGAAGGGGGCGTCAGTCCAGATTCTGTGCCTCGCTGGTTGTTTGATCGCAGTGCCGAAGATGCCAGCAAGTCGAAGGCCGATTATGAGCACTGTCACTCTGACCATGACCTCCCCGCTGAGTTCCTCCGCGGCTTCATAAACACGCACCCTTTCTTCACCTGGGCTGGTCGACCCGGATCGCTGCTCTGGTGCCATGTTGCACCAGATACCCTCCCTGTTCATGAGTCGATAGCTGCATGTGTTATGCGGCACGCATTATCATCCAAGATTTATCCCCCATCAACATCGGAATGTCCCGGAAAGCGAGCCGTCAAAATATTCTACTACAAATGCGGCGCTCCCCAAACTACGCGCATCCCCAGAATCTACCGCGAAGGTCTTGAGGACGCAGAGATTGAGTCAAACTTCGAAGACTCGACCGATGAAGATGAAAGTCGAATGTTCGCACCAGAGTTGATGCTCAGATCTTTCATCGCCCAGGCTACCAGCAACCAGTCCACCCTTCTCCAAGAGTACAAGAGGGCAATCGCTGCAGACTGTGGTCAGAAAGCCTTCAGAACTCTTCTGCGGGTATTCGTACTACTCATTCAGCGGTACAAAGGACGGGTAGTTCTCGTTGTTGATGACTTGCACTGCATCCAACTGCGAATATCAGAGCTCTTGGAAACACTGACCGAGATTGCAAGCGAAGGCGGTGGCTCCAACTGCTCTGTTCTCTTGGGCGGAGACCCAGCTTCCTCCGTTCTCTCGGAGGCCCTGCGAAACGTTCCGTCCGTTGGCTCAACATCGGAATATCAAGAATGCTGCACGTCGCTAATGGTTGAACGCGGTCACACCCGCAAAGACGAGATCCTGTCGCCCGTCCAAGGGACCAACGAGTGGATTTGGGAGCATCCACGGTTCACGTCTTGGGCAGAGGACCCTAGGGGGGCACTCGCGATTGTTGGCAAGCCCGGAAGTGGCAAGTCGGTCTTGGCAAAACACATCATGGCGAGGTTACAAAGCCGGAATGACGGAAAGCATGAAGCACCTGCAGGATCCCAGGGTGGCATGCTCTTGTCTGCCTGGTTTTACAGCGAGAGATCCGGAGAGCAGTTCGTCCGGCACCAAACCCTTTTACGGTCATTCCTCCATGAGTTCCTCACACGGGACGCTCAACTGTTCGATCTCTACAAGCCGGTATATCGAGCAGCGCCGCCATCACCTGTTCGGACTTGGACGGCAACCGAAATGGAGGCCTTGATCAAAGCACTTGCAGAATCTGGCCGCTCGTTCCTCATGGTTATCGATGCGGTGGATGAAGCAACCGACGACTCAATCCTCCGCCTAGTTGAGAACATTGCTCAGATTCCTGATTCCCAAACAAAATTCATCGTCCTCACAAGGCCTGTCAGGCTCCTGGATCGGAAATTTTGGAATGCGCGGAAGATCACACTTCAGAGCGAGAACGAGAAGGACATTCGGAAAGTGGTGTTTCAGAGGTGCGCTACCCTGAGACATCGAATGCACGATGACGATGATGACATGGATATCGACGACGATACGGCTGGGCATGAGGCTGATGGAGATTGGTGTGGTATGGCGCCGGAACTGGGCAGCGGAGTGGCCAGCTTGGAGACTGTGGAACTTCAGCAGCTCTGCGACACAATCATTGAACGCGCCGACGGCGTGATGCTCTGGGTTATCTTGGTGTTTGACTCGTTGACTCGGATGGTGGCACGAGAGGGATTCCTTCGGCTGTCTGAAATACGAGAGCGCGCGACGCAGTTGCCGACAGGCCTTGACGACTTCTACACTCGATTCGTCGACGAGCTGCAATCTCGACTTGATGAAAATGGCCTGCTGAAGGTCCGGCGTGTCCTTATGTGGATCAGCGCTGCGAGCGAAATCCGCCCCTTCACATTAGGGGATCTTTATGATGCCCTTGCGATTCCATATGAGGAAGACTTAACGCAACTTCGAGACCTCAAGAGCTCGCCCTTCAGCCCGTTGGAACGAAATCGAATTCCGGCCAGCTCCTGGACGGGACGGCGACGAATCCTCCAGAACCTGTGCGGACCATTCATCGACATCATCCGTTTGTCCGACTCAGCAGACGAAGATAGACCGAGTACGGCATCCGACAGCGCATCAACCATAGTTCAGCTCATCCACCAAACAGTTAAGGACTTCTTGACGTACTCGACAAACGCCGGGAGACTGCGATTCGGAGCCGAAGAAGCCGCAAGCATGGTACGAACATCAGCTATCCGATATGTCGAGTTGATGTTGCCGAGAGCGTCATGTGCGTATGCCCCGGTTCCTTTCGAGACGAAAATCGGCTGGGAAGAGAACATGGACGCTGTCCTCTCGTATTTCGATCAACTACGACTTCTCCCCTTCTGTGCGGTACTCGCGGCGCGAGAGGACGCGGTGCTGTCGGAAATCCAGGCCGAAGCCAAACTTGCCATCCTGCACGGCTTCCTCGTCTTTCCGACCCCTCGAATCCCATCCGCACTGTGGGAAACCCAGTCAGACAGTTTCGTTAGCATCTCCATGGAAAGATTCTTCCGAGCAGCAATCCAGAGAGAAATGGTTGGTGCCATTCGAGCTATGCTCTCCCTGTCGAGCCTGATCAGTGGCTGGTGGCACACGGATGGCCATACCGTCCGGTTCACGGCCTTGTTCGCCGTATTTGCGCGGATCATCAATTCTGGAGGCAGCCCATTCGTCCACGAGGATGGCCGTCCTTCGGAAGCTCTCACAGACACACCCATCACCAAGGCGGTGTCCGAAATCGTAAAATGGGACCCTGACAGCGCCAATCCGGACGAGCGAGACCCGTACACCCGGGCGGCAAGGCTAGATACACAACTGGATCTAAATCCCTTCAGTTTGGACGGAGCCATCACCGCAGCCACCAAGCTGCTGTGCCACGTATGGCCACTGGCCATCATACAAAGCAAGCCGGGCAGTTCTGCTACTCTGCCCTTGGAAACCTTCATCCGGGAGACCCTTCGACGGTCCAGAACTTCGTGGTTTTTGCTGAATGTCGCACTATACTACATCGCGCTGGTGAAGGTCCATGCTCTGGACCGTATGGGAGCAGGAGAGGATATCTCCAATCTGGGAATACTAGAGCTTGATCTTGATGTCATCCGGGAACCACGGAGAATGTTTCTCGCTGGTCTCATCGTGGCCGCAAAGTGTCTACAGGACCGCAACTTCTCAGCGAGAGCCTGGAGCAAGATTTCGGGTCTCCCTACCCCTGAAGTGTTTGCCGCCGAGAATGCCCTTCTGAGAGGGATTCGTTGGAATCTCCACGTGACGGTGGAGCGGTACGAATGGTGGATCAACATTCTGGGATCGTGTTCATCTGGGACGTGGACTGAAGAGATGCTCAGCTTGTCTCCGTCTGGGATAAGGACATGATGGGCAGATTCCGTCTACGATGTGAGCGGGTCAAAGGATGTCAATTTCTACACAGATACTGACGCAGCTTTTATCATATGCAGCGACCGATTCGCAGCGATGGATACTCGGGAAAGAATACTCAGACCAGTAGGCATATCACATACCAATCAGGTCTCCTAGAACCAGAACACTCACTGATATACGAAGAGGAGGATAAGACGTCTTTTCCACCACTAAGGATTGACCTCTTATTTTATGAGCACCCATTTCCGCAAAGACCCGCAGATCCACACCAGCTCCATCCCGGCGCCGCAAGCCCGTCCATACGAGTCACGATACCTAACCAGGAGTCATCGAAAGCGGGTTTAGCTCAGTTGGGAGAGCGTCAGACTGAAGATTCACTTCATTCCATCAACAACGTGAAGGTCATGTGTTCGATCCACATAAACCGCAAGCGTTCCTTTTTGATGCCCACCATATCACCAACGGTGGACGGCGAGGTGCACAAAGGTTTTTTTTGTCTGAGATTTGGTGCTGGGATGCAATTGGAAATGTGCCGGATTGGGAAGCCAAAGCGGGAGGACGAGTTTTGCTGAAAGATGGCACTTCTTTGTGCTTGGAATGGGCCAAACATCATTAAAGGAGCCGCCCAGCAGCTTTTCTCAGCCATGCCCGAAGGAATTTACATCGCTCCGTTCCTTCAAACCACCAAACTTGCTTGACAACTTCTGTACACTTCATCGAAGGCCACATTCGAGCTATTCATCACCGATACCATGGCTTACTCGACCTCCCTTGAGCCAACGCTGACCAGTGAGAGTCGATTCGCCGGGTTTCCAATCTCACCTGCCACCCTCAGCCCCGGACCTCCCAAAGAGACGGAATTTTGCTTCCCCCTCTACGACGGCGACTCCAGGCGCTGGATTGGCGTTCAGGTTACCGACATTGATGCAGCGGCCTGGAAAGAATGGAACGACCCTAAGAAGAACCAAGCTATCGAGGATGGTATTCTCAAGTCTATCGCAGAAAAGCTTGACAATGGGGTGCCTCTCACTTTTGTGGTGGTGAAGCCCGATGGCACAATCGCGTCCACATCAACAAGCCCCAAGAAGGACGTCACCCCTGGAACCTACTACGCCCCTCCAGCTGCGTACCAGCTCCCCGGAATTGAGACAATTTCGCGGGACAGCCTGGTGGAAATTGGCCGTATAGCCCCCTACGTTGACGTCGTCCTCCATATCTCGGACCCGTACGAGAACCTTGTCTTCAAGCACTACGAGTCCGGCCGTGATATCTCCAGCATATGGAACACCATCCAAGTCGCCGCCCGACTCAACAGCCCTCACATCATCCCCATCCGCCACCTCGTCGTCAACGAGGGCCCATCCGGCGGCATCGTCGGCTACACCACCCCTTTCATCACCGGCGGCAGCCTCGCCGAGAACCGCAACACCCGCACCTTCAAGCTCAAGTACGCCCGGCAGCTCTTCGCCCTCATCGACGACCTCACCCTCGGCCACGGCATCATCCCCAAGTCCCTCCGCAACACCAGCCACCTCATGGTCGACCCCACCACCGACAACCTCGTCCTCACCAACCTCGGCTCCGAGCTCATCGTTCTCAGCCAGGGCGACACCTCCGGCGACGCCACCTCCCCGCACACCACCGAGCTCAACGAATTCGCCCACCTCTACGAAGACGATGACAACGCCCCCACCTCTCACACCAAGTCCTCCCTACCCCCCATCTCCATCCCCATCGCCAGCGCCGCCTGCGCCGCCATCTCCCTCGTCCACGACCTCGTCACCCGCTCCCCGTCCCCATCCCACCCCCCTACCATCCGCAAGCTCTGGACCCTCGAGGACATCCAAGCCGACTCCGCCTGGACCACCACCACCCCGGGTATCTCCCTCGACCACCCCGTCTCCGCCTTCCGTGACGCCACCCTCGCCTGGATCCGCCAGCGCGGCACAACAACCTCCCACTCGGACATCAAGTCCAAGATCGACTTCCCCGGCAGCATGCCGCTTCCCGAAGCCGAGACAGTCCCTGTCAAGGGCAAGTACTGGGACCCGCTGACGGGGATGGTGCGCGAGGACGGGGACGTCAAGGTGAGCGGGTGGGAGTATTACAAGCGGGATGCGCAGCGCGCGGAGCGGGAGATTGTGGAGTGGGGGCGGCCGGTGGCGGGGCGGGTCGAGGGGGGGAGGCCCTTGTTAGCTTCGGGGCGGTATAAGGAGGAGGGGGAGAAACGGGGGAGGGGGAGAGGGAGGGGTGGGAGGAAGGGGAGTAAAGGGAGGTCGGGCAAGGGGGAGGTGCAGGGTGAGGAGGGGAAGGGCAAGGGGAAGGATAAAGGCAAGGGGAAGGGGAAGGATAAGGGCAGGGGAGGCGTGAAGAAGCGGGAGGGCAGGGGTGGGAAGTAGGAGAGGAGGGGTGGTGGTGGTGGTGGAGGTGGAGGTGGAGATGGAGGTGCTGAGCCCTCGTACGGCGGCCCCAGTGATCCTTCATGGGGGTAAGGCCGATGTTAGTTTTCGTTGTTGTTCTTCTGTTGTATTATGTACAAGGCGTTTTGGGAACTGGAGGGTTTTGTTTTACCGAGGTTTCAGATACAAGACTAAGTTAGTAGAGAATGTACCACGATTTCGACAAGATGATCGTGCTAAACCAGGGTTCCGAGGATGGGAAGATGAAAAGTCTAGCAAGTATCATAGATTTAGGTTGTGGATGGAGATAGACTCAGTCCGACGATACCATCCTACTACCCTTGCCTGGGCTGACCTTCGGTATCTGGCTTGTGCCTTGCTCCTTATCCCACACCTTTGTTCCTCTGAGCCTCCAGTGCTGTTGAACCCGCCCGAGTCCTTCTGCCCAAGTCTTTGTTTATAATTGAGGCAATCGTTCGAGCTCTCTTTGATGGACGAGGACGAGCCGTTGCTTTCATGTCCAAAGACGAATTCCTCCTTTCAGGTGTTTTGCTCGGGGGTAACCTTCTAATCTCTTACGCCCCGGGTACCGCCATGCACGGATGGGAATTTACCTTGATACGATACTGTGACACCACACCAGACTGACTTCCTTGCTGCGTGTGGTAAGCAACACAGGGTGAGTAGTACGAATGACTTCATAACATACAGGTCAAAGGATCTCATCACGACACTTGGTGCACCAGGAGGAGTTGACTCGTTAATTCATCAACAATGATCGATGCTCTGCAGATAAAATTACATCGCTGTCCACCCGGGGTTTGGCCCTATCTCAAGGAGGCAGCCATCCGGGGATAAGGTCTATCATCCTCATCATCCTGCATCTTCGCTATCGCTGCCGCTGTCGCAGTTTTCCCAATCCCTTGATTTTGGCTAACCTCAACTCCTTGAGGGTAAAAATCTTGCGGAATAACCTTCCCACCATTGCGATTGGCCGATATTTCTGAGGAGCTTCTGCTAGCCTCCGAAGCCTACCTCCGGGATCTGTGGGCCCTCGTGGCTGCCGGAATCTTCCATGTGCTCTCTATCGTCGCTGATGAACCTCGCCCTCACCGCCATTCTCCTACTGGCGGATCACACTCTCCTTATCCTCAACCACTTCATCACCAACCCCCTGTCCAATATCCTTCTTGGGATTCCTGCTCTTCCGAACAAGTTTCTTGCTAGACGATCCATCCTATCTAGCGACCGCGGCGCTCAGAACCTGTGTCCGGAAGAAACCGCCTTTGGTCCTCTCGATGACCTGCTGGTATACCGAGCTCGGGGGGTGGTTCATGACGACTGTGCCCTCCTTGTAGTCAATCTTGGCATCCAAGCGCGTGTCGCGGATGAGGTTAACAATCCACTTCTCGGCGTCGTCGGCGTTGAGGCCCAGGCGGGCGCTCAGATCCTTGAGGGAGATGCGGGCGTGGATCTTGCAGTAGCTCTCAAAGATGAGATGCCTTGCCGAGTCGACAAAATCGTCGGCATGGGCGAGCAGGAAGAAATCGCTGCGGAGGACCTCCTCAGCCACGACAAGCTGGTTCTGTGCCTCCTCAAAGTCGAAGTCGATGCACAGGGCGTGCACAAACTTGGTGATCGGGTCCTGGTACTCGTATGCCTCCTGCTTGACGATCCGTACGATATCCTTCATCTGCTTCTGCTGGATTCCGACGTTCTTGGCGCGGCCACGGTTTGTGATGACGGCAACGGTGAGGTAACGGAGGATCCATGGGCAGTTGGTCTGGATGGTGTTGATGAAGGGAGCGCTGAAGAAGAGCTCAAGGACCGGCTCGCGAGCCTTGTCGGTGTTGAAGAGAGGGAACAGAGCCCAGTGGATGAGCGAGGTTCGGTGTTGCAGCTGGGCGAGGGGGTTTGCCTGGAGCTTGGTGTCGATGAGTTCCCGGACCTTCTGCAACTCCTCAAGTGCCATATCCCAGTTCGTTGTGAGAATCTCGCACGCAAGCCTTCCCCATGTCGCGTAGGAGACCTTGTCGTTATCTGTGGAAAGAACGCGGAAGCGGTAGAGGAGCTCAGAGGCATCTCCGTAGCTACCGCAGCTGTACTGGAGGTTGCCGTAGTCGTAGAGAGCGTTGACCATGTCGATCGTGACCTATCGCCGCACTCAGTTAGCATCTACCCCCCGCCCCAACTTCTCTCGGGATCCGTGGCAATTCTCACATCGTGGTCCTTCTTCAAGAACTCCAAGTTGGCAACCTTGTCGCTCCTGAGGTTGTTGACAACGTCGTCCCGCTCCAAAAGCTCCGTGATCTTTCCGGTCTGCTGCTCGAACTTCTCCAGCTGGCTGAAGACTTTTTGCTTGCGCTCAGCGTACTCGATCGGCGGCTCCTTCAGTCCTTGCAGCTCGCAGTAGAGGTTGGCGACGTAATCGGTCATGTCGGTCTTCTTGAGGAGCGCGAACTTGGCCTGGGTGATCTCGCGCGCCTTCTTCTCGTCTGTGATGTTCTCCTCATCGTCAAGCAGCTGGCCGTTGGCGAACTCGAGCAGGGGGAAGATCATGTGGCGGTCGAGATGCGGGGCAAGCTTGGGGAGCAGGTCGTAGTCGGCCGGCGAGGGCGCCCCGTTCGGGGTTGTGGAAGCCATGCTAGGTACAGATGCTTCGCGATGTGCTGAAATGTTCGGGTATTTGGTGACGACGAGATGGTCGGATAGCCGGGGAGGAATTCGCGAGTCACTGGGACGTGGTTGGGTGCCAGGCGAGGGTGGAGAGGAGAGACTCGACCGCCCAATTTTCGCTGAAAGAGGCTATCTTGTGAATCTTTGGTGGGGTCAAAAATTGAAAGTGCGATCAGCCGTGGGCGGATGCGGGTGGGTCGCCAGTGTGGCAGCGACCAGCCAACCAGAGGCCTGGAAGAGGGCGGGGGCGGTGAATCATTCTGCCGCGCTCCGATTTTCTTTGTTCCCGCTGGGCCCGCAAACAGCAGCAGCATGGAAGGACCCCTGCTAGCCGGAGCGTGAACGCCAAAAAAG